ATTTTTTTTTTAATTTTTTAAAAAAAAATTTTTTTTTAAATTTTTTTTGTTTTGAAAAAATTGTTTTCTTTATTTTGACATATTTTGGAAGATCTGAACTTGTTTTTCAAAGCAATCGTGCTGCTTTAACTGCATAGAGACAAAATATAAAGCGCGTAAGCGCGGCGTCGCTGTCTAACGGGTAAACATTGATACGGCCCATAGGAAAATAAACAAAATTTATACTGTTGTTAAAATCTCTATAAAATATCTGAAAATTTGATGTGCATATGTCTAATGATCATTTTTGACCGCCAAATGGCATTTTTTTTACTTTTTTCGTTAGATCTCCGAAACCGCTAGACCTGCCTTTATGAAAATATGATCAATTCTTTACCTTGTCAATACAAGTAAAATGTTTTTTGATTATTAAAATCGGACGCTCCGTTCTCTTAAAACTGAGTTACCGTTTTCGGCACTTTTTGCCCCGTATCTCCGGAACGGCTAGACCTGCCTTCGCCAAAAACTAATCAGCACGTCTCCTTATCAATACGAATCGAATGTTTTTTGAATTATTCAAATCGGTTGATCCGTGTTCCCGAAATCGTCGACGAAAATTTGTATCCGCACATACATACCACACGCACACACACCCACACCCACACACACACACACACACACACACACATACATCCATTTTTCTAAGGTATGCCAAAATGTTCAGAAACCTCTGAAACGTAAAGATATATAAAAATTTTCATTTTCGATTTTTTTGCGATTACTATAACTTACCCTACGGGAAGTTAAAAATTATTCATAAAAACTAATATGCACATATAAAAATAAAGATTTTGAAGAATCAAAATAAAATCTATGCAACATGGTTAAAAAGAGTATGTAAAAATACTTTGAATATTACAGATATAATGTAAGTGGCTAAATGCCGAATGCCGAGGCCAATAAAATAAAATAAATTAATTATTTTATTGTTGCTATTACTACGCACAATATAAAATTATATCCGTTTGCAAATATTACATAATAGAACACAATAGAAATTAAATATTCAAGGTTGCTTTTATAAAATTCACTAATATTGCATAGTTGAATAAAAGTGCAGAGACAATTTTGAACCGACGAATAATGCAATTCGAACGCCCTTTTGTAAAAAAATAGTTCTCTGAAATAAATAATAAATATAAATATTAACTAGTGGGGTGCATAACATCGTGCCTTAAGGCAAATTGCTAAAACTTCCCGTACGTTTTTTTTTTTTTTTTTTTTAAAAAGATTAACATTGTTGAGAACAATTCACTTCAAACAATTTAGATTTATGAGAAACTATAAATTTGACAAAAAATTACTTTGTTTTGACATATTTTGGAAATTCTGAACTTTTTTCAAAGCAATTGCCGTCTAACGGATAAGCATTGGTACGGAACTCATAGGAATGTGAACAAATTTATACTTATTGGTAAAATCTCTATAAAATACCTGATAATTTGATGTGCATATGTCTAATGATCATTTTTGACGTCATGAAAATTTGATCAGTTCTTTATCTTTGTTAATACAAGCAAAATGTTTTTTGAATTATTCAAATCGAACGCTCCGTTCTTTTAAAAACTGAGTTACCGTTTTGGCACTTTTTGCCCCATATTCAAAAAGCCTCTGAAACGTAAAGATATATAAAAAAAATCATTTTAGATTTTTTGCGATTACTATAACTTGCCCTACGGGAAGTTAAAAAATTAGTTTTTTAAGAAATTTTAAAATTTTTGAAAAAAATTGACTTTTTTGAAAAATCAGATTTTACTTTGTGTTTTGATTTCTTTTCGAAAATTTTGAACATTTTTGTGACTTTATTAGTATAAATTGCCTGAGAGTAATTTATTACTCAGTATGGTACTCTGAATTGTGTAGTCTGAAAATAGACCTCAGCTCCTAGTTTACCTGCCAGCGTAAACTGGTACTTGGTGCCGCATTGCAATCCTTCTAGTACATGTGAATGGCTCTTCTGTCTATCGTGATCTCTTCCCAGTCTGCGAATTCCTTCTTGTACGACAAGAGATATCCGCGAACGGGGGCGCCGCCTCTCTCCCATCTTCCACTGCAGCTGGACACTGCTCTGGCTGGAGCTGGTCGCCAGCAAGGCGGGCGGCGACGGCGGCACTGTTCAGATAATAATAATTGTCGGATCAATTACAATGACATATATCGGAAAGAATTGATAATTGTTATGTGGTATTGGTATTTGAAATGAACCGTGAATTATAATGAAGTATATTTGAAATATTAAGTTTAAATTCTTGGTTACGGCAAGGTCACACTTATGATGGTCAAAATGTTACTATAAGCACTATTAAGATCGTGCCAAGATATTCCCGACATGGTTGATTCATCAATGGTTGATTCAACCGATACTCTCACAATCATTGAAAAATTAAGGGAAGCCCTTAAATACAAATGCACAAATTGATCAACATCCAAAAGAACTGATAGCGAGTCTTTACTACACCACTTATAATATAAAACTAACAGTGGGGTGCATGGCATCGTGCCTTAAGACATTCCTAGAACTACTACCCGTACCATCATTAAACAGTCGAGAAAATAATCACGGTGGTAAGTTGTAACA